CAAACTAAAGTCAAACGAAGCTTAGAAAGAACTCCTGCGTGACAAAAGATTTGAATGTCTGAAATAAAATAACAGCAAATTATGGAAATATGAATAGCTGCTTTGTAATCACAATTGTGAAAACAGAGAAATAAACACTGTACATCTGTGGCATGTTAACATTTTTAGTCCTCGTTTTGACGTAGTCTGAAAACGGAGACTTATGGACTCCCCAGATCTAGTACGTCGATGATATATCAATGCACATTCTTTTATTTCAAAAATATTTTAAAGTTAAATATTGAGAAAAATTTTATTCATCGACAACCAGTAACCTGACCTGTAACCTGCGTTTTGTTGCTGCCGGTATCGATCTCATGTCAACCCTAGGTTAATTACGCACTGGCTGACTATATACTCTACGGTGTCTTTGTAATAACCCCTCTCGCCCACAGGTGCTCGGAACGTTTCCTGGATAATAAAAATGACCTAAAGTGGGATCTTTATTATATGAGTAGTAGGGGAATGTACCGGCGACTGACTAACTATGCCGATCCCAATTTAGGTCATTTTTTATTATCCAGGAAACGTTCCGTGGCCTGTGCTCTCGCCCGCTCGGAGCGCTCGCTATAGTATTATTTATACTAAACTCCAAAATACAACGACAGATCCGATTTTTGAAGCTGTTATTAGCATATTCATGAGTAAACGTCATGAAAGTAAATGATCAATTAGTGCTTGTTTAACACGGGGTCACTGACCGCCTTCTACATGTACCGGTATAGATTTAGTTCTGAACACCTAGTCCACTTCCCTTCCCTTCCTATCTATTAATGTGTAATTAAAAGGTGGTGGTCGTGACGCCGCGTTCTGTTCGATACGGGACTGATAGTGACGTATACAACGCGTGTAAAATACGTTGTTTGTTTACATGAAATTCCAACACTCGCTGCACGAAGACCACCACCCTGTACAAAGAATTGGGAAATCCTTGTTTAGCGCTTTCTAACATCACACAACTGATGTATCACATTATATTTGGTTTAAAAAAGTCCGTTACCAAGATATGTTTAAATTAATGTTTATTTTTTTTTCACAGGTCCCGTGGTAAGCAGTTTGAATAATAAATTTGGTACCAGACCGATGGTTGTTATTGGTGGAATTTGCTCAAGTGCTGGTTTACTACTATGCTCATTTGCAAATAGCATTAATGCATTACTCGTGACGTATGGTGTAATTGTTGGTAAGAAATGAAATATCCACGTCAAACAACGTATGATCGGTGGTATGTTTTCCTGTGTTTTCTGGTTTGATTATTTTGACATTTTGTAGACTAAACTTCCACACGTACGCAATTTAATATCACAGCATTGTGGCATGACACGACTGCTATAAAGTTACTTAAAAGTTGAGCTACCTTTCTGACCAGTGCTCATTCATTGCCTTAACATTATCTGTCTGTGTGGAAACTAAAACTAATAGTACAGAACATCTAAAGCCTTTGCCCCCTAAATATATTTGGAATCAGGAGTCCAAAAAATATAGACTGGCATGTTATGTAGCCATCAAATAGAAAAACATTTTTCTGACTACTTAAAAAATAATACAGAAGAAATAGATGTGAATCTACAAATTAGTAAAGAGATATTAATAAATACAGCTGAAACTTGACACACAAAAACAGATTAGACAACCTTGGTTTGACAAATCTTGTAGTGAATTAAAGCGAGGGAGTTGTCACCGCACATGCGTCAGATGGCCATAGCGTGTTATGTGTACAAACAAGCGTCGAGTCTTAAGCCTTTGCGTTGGGACTCGATTTCCGCGCATGCGCAAGTGACGA